TATTTCTTCTTCCTTCCTTCGCCTCTTACAAACCTTGACACGTCAACCTACAATTGCCCCTATTTTATTTTTTTTTCCATTAAACAAATCAATTCAAAGATAAATTCGCACTTCCCTTCTGATTGCTAAACATTGATTACAGTCTCTAATTTCTCACAACTTCAATCTCCATAATCAAATATTAAGAACCCTATGTCAACTATTAAAAAGGAGAGGATAGAGAAAGAAAATCGGAAGAATAGGGAAGACGAAAACTGGAAGAAAAGGGAAAAAACTGAAGGAATCATATCACCACCCTTTAATTTAATCTAGGATTTTTCCCCTTTTATACATTGATTGATCAAAAATTCTATCAACCCTATGATCGGAGATTGTAACAAAACAGGGGTGGGAATCACAAATGCAGGATCAATAATGGAGGATTAAATGAGAAATCACAAAAAAAAAGGGTGGAAATCAAGGGGAAAACATATGAGATCAAGTCCGAAAAAGTTGAACAGATCTCCAGAGGTCCGATCTTACCTTGGGTTGTGTCGATTTGACCTTAGGATTTTCCGAGCTTCTTTAATTGAACCCAAATTCTGGGTTTGCAAACCCAAATTCTTGTGTTCTCGTCTGGTTCATTGGTGAAGAATGGATGAAAATTGCAGAGGGAAAGGCTCTCTCGATTGTTGAGAATGAGGTACAGAACCCAAATATGAGGGTTTGGACGAACCTGGTGGAAAACCCCTACGTCTATTTGGGTTCTTGTGGTGAACTTGCAAACTCGCCCATGGTTGCTCAAACCGAGAAGGAGAGGAGAGAGAATATACCTTTGCCAATGGAAGAACCAAAACTCACCTGATTTCATCGCACAGCACCGAAGCCATGGATGATCCACCACCGTGATGATCCACCACTGTTGAGATTGCACAAGTATGGAGAACAACATGAAAAAAGGAAAGCAGAGAGTGAAAAAGGAGGGGAAGAATCAAAGGAGTCCTAGAATATTGTGAGCAAGAAGAAGAAACTAAGTAATTTTTTAATTTTTTAATATTAAAATATTAATTTAATATGTTTCATTATTTTTATTTTTTTAATCAGTGAGAAATTAAGAGATAGGAGAGTAGGTATAATATTGCTGCAGCAGTGGCAGCTAGAACCCTTGACATAAACGCCAAGGGGATGATGCACTTCCAACGCAGTCGAAGCCGCAAGTGCAATATGTTTCATTATTTTTTTAGTAATCCCCCAAAATTTGAATGTTATATTAAATGTTAATTAATCTAAAGTTATTAAAATTTATTGCCCAATTTGTCTGGCTATTGTGTGAACGTCCCACCCGTAACATCATTGGCGTTCAAACCCTTCGATACCCATTTCCCCTCTCCTTTTCTCAATTTCCCTAGTTCAAAAAAAAAAAAAACTAAGATTATTAGATTTTATAAAAGAAAACATTTTCAAAACATGTTTTTTCATTTATAAAATTGAAATTTAAATTTTTATTTAAAATATTAAAGTTCTTTAACTTAATCTAATAAATTATTAATTTAAGTTGAATTATTAGGTGGACATAAAATTGTCTAAAGAAACAATTTTGCACGTGTATATAAAAAATAAAAACTCTAATTATTTGTCAAGATAACGGGTGACATTAGCAAAAAAATTAAC